GATGTTTATAGAAGGCTTCTGCCGTTATGTCCATCTTCCAGGTGTGTTGGAGCCAATCAGTCTTTGTACAGGCTTTTCCAGCTATTGTCATGGCAACCGTCAACTGTCACGGTGCTGGTGGGTGTGTCATTTAGTATGCTAATACATTACAATGAGCATATGAGGCTAAGGTCCACTTGAAGTCAAATCCTCCACCATGGCGGACTTTCGGTTCTGACCAGTTCTTGTTTCTTCTCTTTGCAGCCACTTAGATTAGAGCAATGGGCTCTATTGGAGGGAGGGCAGGGGTATGGTCCTGGGGACAACAGCCTTGGTAACAAAAAGGAAAGTTACTTTTAATTAAAATGCCAGCAATTTGTTGGACCCCATGTCCCCCCCCCCCCCCCCGAAAACCATCTAAGGCCTGGGAGACTCCAGCTTTTCTATAAATAAGACGCAGGGGGTAGAGGAACCCTAGATCCTCAAACATAACTCAAGGATGTTGTTATGTATATTCCTGAGGAGGAGCTAAGGTCCTGCCCCAAGGCTGCAGTATTGTTTCTTGATTGTTCCTCTCTTATTTCTGCATTCCCTCCCTTCCCTGATTAGCAACTGTTTGAATCTGCCCTTTGGAATGCAGGGAAGGTCGAAGAGGCTGAAAGAAGCCTGTTACCTATGGATAAGAAACAGGGGAAATGGAAAAGATTTGTATGAGAAGGACCCCATGGGGTCTTGCTTGGTATCATTTCTGCTATAGATCGAATGTTTATAACTCCTCTGCAATTCATATGTTGAAACCTACTCCCCAAGGTGATAATATTTGGAGGTGGGGCCTTTGAGGGATGATTAGGTCATGAAGGTGGACACCTCTGGAATGGGATTAGTGCCGTGATAAAAGAGACCCCAGAGGGTGTCAACTCCCTCACCGCTCCCCACCATGAAAGCTACAAATGAAAAAAGAGTTTATCTGAAACTTTAAAAATTTCAGTTTGGGAGGCACTGATTCCAGTAACTCTAAGGGAAATAGAAAATGACAGAGATTTATGAAGGCAATATGGACATTCCAGAAAAGTTACATAGGTTATTTTTACAGAACTATGATTACTGCCTGCAGGCATTCAGTAACTGGCTGGCAGCAGATTGGTTGCTAAGCTGTGGTTTCTAGTGGGTAACCACAGAAAGAAGTTCCGTATGGTCCCCAGGATGGGCGGTTCAAGGATTTATATAGCACCAGCGTGTGGTGTAAGTTCTACTTCCCTAATGGCCCCCAGCTTCATTTCAGATCTTGTAACGTAAGTGAATCCACACCGTTGTGATTTGTCCACAAGAGCTCCCTCATGCCTTCTGCCGTGTGAGGACACGCCAAGAAGATGGTCATCTGTTGTCAAGGAACTGAGCCTTTGCCAGACACCAAGTCTGCCGGTGCCATGGTCCTGGGACTTCCCAGTTTCCAGAACCG